CAACTTCATGATTGGTGTGTTACAAATCACATACATGTGTATAACGGTCACCCTAGTCAAAAACAATATGAGTCCTCCACAGTCCCTTTTGTGACCCCACCGGGCACCGCCCCTCGGAGGAGCCACTATCTGAGCTTCCACAGCATCAGTTCGCTGCTTTTGAAATCCACATCAAGGGAACCACACTGAATGCTCTTTTGGTGGCTGCCTTGTGCTGTTGTTCAGTGTTTGTGTAGTTGAATGTCCTCTTCCCTTGTGTACAGATAATATCCCATTGACTGAATATACCACAATCCATCTGTCCATTCTACAGTGGATGGACGTACAGATTGTTTTTAGTTGGGCAATTATGAGCAAAGCTGCCACAGACACTCGTGGCCCATGCCTTTTGTGGCATACACACTCACTGATGGAACCATTCCTAGGAGTCGGGTTACCGGGCCGTAGTCGGGGTGTGGGAAACCAGGGCAGTTGCTGGGGCTGGGGAAGGGTGGATGAGCAGAGAGCTAAGGCCCAGGCCTACAGTCTCAGCGATGCTCCTGGGGCACCCTGGGCTGACCAAAGGCCAGAGCTCGCCCCTCTGCTCCCCCTGGCAGGTTCTCTTGTCCGCAGGCACCAGACCAAAAACAGTGACCTTAGGGTAGAACTGCCCTTGTGGGTTTCTGAGACTAACTCTATGGGAGTAGAAAGCCTCATTTTTTTGTCCCTGAAGCGGCTGAGGGTTTCGAACTGCTGATTTTGCAGTGAGCGGGCAAAGCCTAATCCACTAAGGCAGCAGGGCTCCTCACACCCCCAGGCCAGTGACCTAAAATGCCCCTGGGGTTCCCTTCCGAGCTTCTTGCTGGGAACGGCTCTTCCGCAGAAGCCCTCTGGCGCCCCCTACTGGCAGATCAGCCTCTAGCCCAGTGGTTCTCAACCTGTGGGTCGCGACCCCTTTGGGAGCGGGGGTCCAACGACCCTTTCACAGGGTCTAAGACCATGGGAAAACACGTATTTCTGATCTGGCGAGAAAGTCGCCATCTCAACCTTCGCACTGCTTCAAGACAAAATTTCATTTATTTTTAATTAGAAATAAATATTTCACAATATATGACATACTGTTTTTGTGATTCATCACTATGCTCTAATGATGTTCAGTTGGTAACAATGAAAATACATCCTGCATATCAGATATTTACATGACGATTCATCACAGTAGTAAAATGACAGTGATGAAGCAGCAACGAAAATCATGTGATGGTTGGGGGTCACACCACATGAGGACCTGTACGAAAGGGTCGCGGCGGGAGGAAGGTTGAGAACCGCTGCTCTGGACTCTCAAGCTCTGAGCACAAGAGGGAGGCAGTGTGGGGTGTTTGACTGATAATTGCATGGACTCCATCAGCTTCTTAACCAGTCTCTTTTCCTCCGTCCCTCATGCGTGGTGGATCTCTTTAAAGGCATGCCTACATTAGGAGCCCTGGTGACTTGTGGTGTTTACCCATTGGGCTGCCTAACCAGGAGGTTAGCAGTTCGAGACCTCCAGTTACTCCTCGGGAAAAAGGCAAGGCCTTCTACTCCCATAAAGAGTTAGTCTCAGAACCCACAGGGGTCAGGTTCCACCCAGTCCTATAGGGTCGCTGTGCCTCAGAATCGATCCAATCTCAAGTTGAGTCCATCTATAGGACATTCTCAAAATGACAAAAATCAGAGAAGGGGGACAGGTAAGGTGTCAGGAATTAGGGCAGGGGAGGGCGGGGCAGTTGGCGATCTAGGCCGTGATGGTGGTTGTGCACATTCACATGTCGTGAAATGCTACGCAGCGTCATACGAAAGGGAGGAGCGTGGGCCAAGCAATGGTGAGGCCAAGTCCGGGCTGTAGTCTGGGTCATCATGCAGCACCCCTCAGGGCCCTGGCTTGGAGCCAGTACGACAGCGATGCAAATTGTCCTCGCTGGGGGAATTTGATCTCCTGGGCATGTTTGCAGTTCCTTAATTCTTCTTTCTTAACAAAGTGTATTCAAATAAGAAATGCTAAAGCCTACCTACCATTCTATCCACCTGCTTGTCTCCACCCCACAACCTGATGGACCGTGGAACCTGCCGTCCACTCTCCCGGCAGGCCCTACAGCCTCCAGAGCCGGGCCTCCTGTCTGGGGAGGGGAACTCGCTGACCTGCTCTGGGAACCTAGCTGTCCTCTAGGCTGGCAGCACAGGAGGACCCCCACTCTCCGCTGGCCCAGAACCTGGGAGACTGGACCTGGAAGGCCCTGTCCTGCCCGGCAGGCTCTCGGTTGTTCTGCAAATAGGTTCCTTCTCTTGTCCCCAAGGGGGCGCTCTTCCACTGCTGCAGCTCACACCTGAGATGGACACACCTGAATGCCATATACTGTAGTGTCCCTGGGACTGACTCAATGGCCCCGGGCTGGAGAACAGGCTGCCCTAGAGCTCTGGAAAGTCAAAGGATGGCACGCCCCACGCACCTTGCCACCCACCAGGCAATGTGGCTGCAAGCTGGGGGCTCCTGGAGGCGGAGTCCCCTAAGTGGATGAATGTTCTGAGTGTCCTCAGGGAAGACAGAGCAGTGGACTGTGGCCAGAACCCTGGGGGGCTGACCATGGGGTAGAAGAAGGGCTGAGAAATGAACAGGTGATGTGGCAAGAGATGACCCGTGATGCAAGGACAGAGGAACACGGTGTCTCAAGGAGGGCCACCCATGTATCTACTCCAGGGCACGAGGCTTGGCCACGTCTTTTGGACTGAGCAACCAGGTGGGCTCCCATTACCTTCCAGAAAGCTCCAGGCTGCAGGGATACGTGGTGCCTGCTGAGAGGAGGTGGGGTGGGACAAGCCCTCCTCCACTGTTGGTAGTGTCACTGTTTGTTTGGTTTTTTGGGGGGGCTTCTATCGCTCAACTTAGTAGGACACGTGGCTTTCCTCGAACGATTCATTCAAAACCCAACCATTGTGCACCTACCATGTGGATCAGGTGCTGCGCTCAAAACTACAGTGATATGGGTGGAGCTGGGGTGGAATGCCACATGCCTTCAGGGGCCACCAATGAAACTCTGGGTCAGGCTCTGCCACAACCTCTCAGCTAGGACATTGCCTCTCTAGGAGCCTCTTCACTGGGCTCAGATGATCCCTTAAGTTCCCACCCCGTTTACAAAATTTGGCTTTCTCTGCCTGCTGTTGTCTTCCTGCCCAGGCCCTTGACGAGGGCAGAAGCCTAGGATGGAAGCGAGGTCCCATAGGGGAGCTAGTCTTCCTAAAACTGCTCTGCTCAGGGATCCTCCTGCCTGCTGTCTCCAGCCATCCACAAGGCCCCGCATAGTGTCCCCTTCCAATGGCTCCAGCATCGCCTCACACGGTGCCCACTGGTTTTCTGGCTCCAGCCACAACTGTCTCTCTGAGCTCTCCTCTCCTCTCCAACATCCCTGCCTCGCAAGAAGTCCCTTTTCAGGCGTGTGCGCTTCCCTAGCCTGAACGGCGTTCCTGGTGGGTGCTGCATGCCTTAGTGCTGACCTCAAACAGGGCTTCTGCAGGGAAACCACAAGCCGCTGGGGGGCCAATCACATCCCAGTGACACATCTTCCAGGAACCATGTGCCACAACTGTATTGGACTGCCATCAGTTTAACGTGTGCTCAGCTCCATCCCCAGGCCTAGGTGAGAGGGGCCCCTGCCTGGGGAAAATTACATTCTAGAACTTCTATCTCCCCTGCAAGGTAAAGAATCCTGAGACCATGCTCTGGATGCCTGGGATCCCAGAATTCCCAACCCACGTGACTGCAGCCAACTGCCCAGGGCTGCTTGACCAAGAGTGGACTCCAGGCGGCAGTGGCTGCAGGGAGGGTAGACAGGTGGCATGTACGGACTAGTGACCACATTGGTGTGCCCCAATTTCTCCTTAGGACAGAAAGGCTCTGACGGTGAGGAGAGGAGGGGGCCGGGCCAGCACCGCCTACACAGCACCATGGACCGGCGTAGAATTCAGGAGAACCAAGGCAGCTGGTGAGAACCTCCCAGGTCCCTGTGAGAGTCCGAGCGTCAAGGTAGGAGACTAGAACACATTTTATTCGACAGGTGTTAGCTGGATTGAGAACTTTTAAATACGTACACGTAGGGTGAGGCCTCCATTTGTGCACTCGCCCCTGCTGGAGTGAGGGGTGGACATGGGTCAGCCTCACTGACAGACCGTAAGCTCCCTCAGGGCAGGCAGCATGCGCTGCCTCTCCACCCCAGAGCACAGTAGCAGACAACCAATATTGGCCATGAGAAACAATGAGCTCATCCAGGGAGAAGGCAAATGTCTAATAAATATTGTTTGTGGAATAAAGGAGTGAGTGGAGTTGGGGCCCAAGATCTATAAACGGAGGTGGCTTGTGTGAGGCGGGCGCAGCTGCCCCAGGGCTCACGAGTCCTTTCCCAATGCCTGTCCCCTGCAGGTCTCCTACAGCTCCTCATGGCAAGGTGGGTATCATGCTTGGCAGTCTGGGCACTGCAAGGCTGCTGCCCCAAGGAAAAAGTAACTCCCCCAGCCCTTTGCCTTCCTTCAGGGCCCCTCCCCTGGCCCAGCTGGACCCACGGGCTCAGTTTCTTTGGTTGTTTCACAGTCCTGCTGGGGCCGGGGGTGGCTAGGATGCTGGGTTCATATCCCCAGGAGGCTGTGGGTGGGCAGAACCTGCTCGGGAATCAGACTGGCCAGTGGACGCTTCACAAGCCACTGTGTCACAGAAAGCCTCCCTTCATCAGCAGGGCTAGGGGTGGAGATGGTGGCTGTCAAATGCCACTGCCCACCATGCTAAGTTTAGCAACTGGAGGAACCCTTACAGAACATGTGGGGCACAGGGGAGGGAGGGCAGAGGGGAAGAACCCCAAGGAGAAAATGGTCAGCAGCCAGTCTTCCAGAGGACCCTGCGGTTGGTTGCCCTAGCGATAGGGGTTGTGCCTTGGGCTTCTAACCACAAGGTCAACGGTTCTAGCCCCTCAGCTCCTTGGCAGGAGAAAGACGAGGCTGTCTGCCCCTGTAAAGATGTACAGTCTCTGAAACCCAAAGGGGCGGTTCTACCCTATCCTCTGAGTCAGAATCCACTCATGGCTTTGGGTTTAGGGTGGTTTACAGGTAAGCCCCGAAACCCTGCCCCTTGCATTCCAGCCCAGGCACCGTAGTAAAGAATGGGACCGAACCCCGCAGCAGCCCAGAGAGAAATCACATTCGGCCAACGGTTCCAACGGTTCCCTCAGGCTCGCCATATCCTCAGACCGGAGAGGGGTCGACTGCACAACGGCAAGCGGTGGGAGCGCAGGCCTGCAGAGTCCAGGCGTGGTGGGCGCGGTCAGTGCGGCCGGAAGATGTCGGAGCACTGCTGCAGGATGAGCTCGACCACCTGGTTCTGGAACACCATGCTCATGGGCATGCTGGTCTCCTCCGCCTCCGGCCGCAGCAGCGTGGGCCCGAACACGATGGCCACGCTCTGGGTGGACATGCGGTTCTGCTCGCGGTGCTCGATCACCCTGCGCGGGCGGGGCAGGACGGGGTCAGAGCCCGGCGGGGCGGGCAGGCCGGGCA